TTCGGATGCACTTCTTCACAGGATAAAAATGGACTTTTGCCAAAGCCTGGGCAGCATCAGGTTCCTGGTAATCTAAAGAATTATCGTAGACAGAATCCATTGAATCTGGAAGGAAGGGCATTATCAGCCTAAAATGGTTTTGGTGAAAGTGCAAGGACAGTTTCTGAGCCAACATGGTTATCTAGAATTCAGCATCAGCAGGCAATAATCGAGCCTTCAAGTAAATTTTTTCTGTTTTCGTTTTATCAGTGCTTGGGAGAGATATTATTCAATCAATTCGGGTGCTCTTTAGAGAGACGTTATTCACCCAAATTAAAGTGTTCTTAATTGTTCTTTTTGAATGGGTACCTAGAATTTGGGGGTCTAGAATTGTTCTTAATTTGTGTGAGTTTTGGCAAGAATTGTTATTNTGGGTGTCCAGAATTTTTCTTAATTTGGGTGAGTTTTGGCAAGAATTGTTATTAATGGGGCAACAGTGAGTTTTGGGAAGAATGTGAAATTTGGTGGGTTATTTGCACTATTTAAAATGTTTGGGCTATAGTTACAGTTCATTATTTATTTTTCTTTTCTTTTGTGTTTGTTTTATTTTAATAGAAGGGTAAAATGGTCAAAAATATACGAAAATGACGTTTTATGCCAAAAATGTGAAAGGTAGGGACGTTCTGCACCAAAAAACTAAAGGTATGGACGTTTTGCACACAACCATGCATAGGTAGGGACGTTTTGCGCCAATTACCCTTACTTTAGTTTTTAATGTTGTCTCGAAACATTTAACAATTTATAAGAAAATTTTATGNTAGATATGTAATCTTTTTTAACTCGCACCAATGTCCAAACTGGCCCAAACCGATTTGGTTTAGTTTGGTTCGGTTTCAATGATTGGATTGAGTTGGTTTGGGTTGGAACTTATCCAAACCGACTAAGTTGGTTTCGGTTATGGGTTGGACTCAAAATCAAACCAACCCGAACTATTCCCAGGCCTAATTATAGATGCAATCTTCTTTGTTAATCACATATTTGAAATGCTTCAACCATACAACTGAATATTCAAACTTAGGGTTGACTAATTGGGACATTATTATTTGTCCATAGATCCGATTCAGTCACTTTGAAACCAGGTGAGTTGCAATCAAATGATTTTGACCAATGGAAATCAGGATATAAGTAATTTTATCAGAAGTTGAATCTAGCCACAATTTTATAGGATAATTAATTTTAACAATCAAGAACATGCAAGCCATATACAGATTAAGAGAACATGTGCAATAATATACCATTTAAATTGTTTATTAAACTTGCATAAGAATCAGCAGATCTTTTCCAGATAATAAAATAAATTGGGTAAAACTTCCCCCAATAAAGTGACAATTTTTGCATGCTCAAGTTATTGGTAAATCTTCAAATAATGCTTATAATTTCAATGGATTATGACTTTGGCTAGTTACTTTTATGTATCTTTACTTTGTTCTTAAGTGCTGAACGAGCTCGAAGTAGTCCTTCGTGTCCAAACTCCATTAACGAATCAATGGCTGTAACAAACAAAAGAAAATTTAACAAAAAGAAGTTTTGTTTTTTTTTCAACATTTTCTTTATGTACCACAAAGAAGCTTACTGTTTTCTACTTGATGTACAACAAAATGCCAATTCACTAGACTAGTCTCTACAACCCATATTCTTTCCTTTTGTGTTTGCTGATATACAAATATAAGATAACCCAAAAAACTCGTAAAAATAATGTTCACAAAGGAGCTAAAAGTTACTGTGATTGATGATGTAAACTCTTCTTCTTTTGAGCAATGGAGTAGTAGTACACCCGTAGCAAGCGCTTACGGAACCTTCCTAGATTCAGCCTTACAGTTTGACGGTCGAGATAGATCTTCTTTGTGAATTCCCATCCCTTTTCATTCACACTCTGTGGATCGATTAAAACGGGATCATTTTTGTCATAATCATCGTACAATGAGCTTTCCTTTGGAAGGATTTTGTAGCCAATGTACCTCAAACCAAATTTCACTGCCGGTTCCCCATAATAATTTTCGGCTGCCCAGTCCGTGCCGAGGGGAATGACTTGAATAAAAACAGAACTGGGCTTCATAAAGAGAAAGTGAGTCATGGCAGCACCATGGACTCCAATCATAACATCACTTGAATTAAGAACTCGGTAAGCTTTTGCAAGTTCTGATGTCCTTTGAGGCCTCAGTACTTCGACCACAAACCCAATGTCCTCTGCCATGTTGACCAGTAAATCTTCGTTAGTAATTGCTCTTGAACCATTCCGAGAAACTACAACCAGTTTAGGCCTATTTGATTCTTGCTTCTCTTTAATTGTCTCTATCAGATTATGTGATGATGGGGATAGAGAAGATTTCTCCGTTTTCGACTGAGCTTCACCCTCCTCTCGGATGAGACCTCTAATTCGAGGCCAATATGCCTGGTCTAATAGTTCTCGGAAGTCTCTTATAGACTTATTCCCTTCCATCAATGAAGAATTAACAGAGAGCTCATCATGGATTCTTAAGCCGACAATAGCTTCTGGGAAGCAATGGATTCGTTTATCTCCACTAAAATCTATGGCAGGAAAATCAGAGAGCTGAGACAGTATGTCACCATACTTCATGATCCACCAATTATGATATTCAAGAATGACAAAAACAACCTTCTTGTTCAGATGCTGAGAAGTAATGTAAAGAGGCAAAATCCCATCATTAAATTCGTGGTAAAGATTACCCGTATAGCCTCCCGTAGAAAAGAACACAGCTGTAACATTGTACTGGACTTCGCAACCGTGATGGATGCCGGATTCTTTTCCTTTTACGTTGAGGTTTAACTCATCAATAGTATCCATTACACTGGTTTCCCATTTCCGAGAATATGGCTTGATCTTTTCATGCTGAATAACCTCTGGCTCGTCATTTTCATCAGTAGATGGGACAGAAACAAAATCATTCACTCCATTGTTTCTATAGAGGAAGATAGATGAGGAGGCGGAGTGAGTTCTCACATCCCCTTTCATTATGCATATATCTGACCTAATGCTGCTTCTATCACAACAAAGAGTTCCTGCATTTGGAAAAATCATGTCACAAATTCATAAATTGGAGAAGCCTATCTACCTATTTCTCCAAAAATCATATCGTTTTCATAGTATCAAAATATGCTAGAATACTTAAGGAAATAATAAGAACAGCAAAAGATATCCAAACTTAGGCATAAATTAAGAAAAAGCCAGTAATTATTCCACAGCCCACCTGATTGAATATACATATAAATGTTATGATTTGTGCCTACCCCACAATTATCAGGCCCCCAGAGATTTCCCCAACCCCCATCCTACCCCACCCGGCCACCCCAACCATAAAGAAAACAGAGAAACAAAAAAATTTGAGGGTTTTGAGCATACTAACCATTAGGAACAGAGGAACAAAGGAAACCATTTCTATCAGGTTCAGAACCAAGCCCTTCATCATCAAACCCAAAAGGATCTGCAAGCCACACAAAACAAAAACTATAAATAAACTAAGAAGTATTACACCGAGAAAAAAAAAAAAAGAAACCAACAAAAAATAGGAAATAGGGCTTACAAAACAATAAGAAGTTGGAGTTTGAGGACAGGATCTGGGGTGCCAGAATCAAGCTGCAAGACAAAAGAGATATAATAATGAAATATAAAAGCTTGGGACTTGGCTTCTTATTGCAGTAACCAGAGTTTCCACATATCGAATGGAAGTAGGACTCTTCGTCATCATCAACCATGTATTCTTTGTTTTTCTTCCAGTGGTTATACAGATTGTACCTCTGGTATTTCACCATCCTTCACCCAACCTTAACAAGATTTAGAGAAAGTAAAACAGAGATTGAGAGAGATTTCGGTGTAAAAGAGAGAGCCTTTGGCCTTAGAGAAAGAGGAAAAAAGGGCGTGTCTGGTTTGCTTCAGGTGTGCTGTTTTTGCCTGCTGCTATTGCTCCGTTGAGAGGACGTTGGTTATAAGAGAGTGGGGTGGGGGGGAGAATCTACTTGACTTGTAACTGGGGGTCCAAAAATAATCCTGTGCCTGTCCAGTTAATCAAAAATATTTAGATAATTAAATAAAAATTTAAAATTTAATTATGTTATTTAGAACTATTTAATTTTTCTTATTCATTACGTAATTTTAAAGTATATTTAGCCCATGTCTGGTGAGGATTAAAATCAAAATTTTCAACAAGAGTTGATGAAATATGTAATTGAAAAGTCGTGAATACCATAAAACGTGTAGTTAAAATTTAAAACAACGGGTATCAAACACAAACTTGGTAAGTTTGATGTGGCAAACAGCGAATTATATATATAAAAAAAGAAAAAATTAATTAATTATTGGATAAAATCCGTGTCCGAGGATAGGAAAGGTGGTGAGCCTAACGCGCTATTGAAGACTGAAATCCATACGTTTAGAACAGCAAATGCTTTGGAGGCATCTGAGACAACTGTTTTATTGGAGACACAATATTGGAAAGCAATACCACCTTGTCCAAAATATAAAACAGGAAAATCCTCGTGGGTCGGAGGGAAGGAACGTTAAGAATATGGGACGGGACGGGACGGGACGAAGTCACGAGGAAAATAATAATAATAATAATAAAATTAATGTTGAACTGATAAATAGGAAAAAAAAATGTCATTTTTACTTATAGAAAATATTTTTTAATGTTATAAAACTAATAGGCTTGGGAGGTTTGTCCCCACTTCCCTCTGCTCTTGAGGATGTGCACGTTTTTACGAGGTGTAAAATGAATTGGGACGATTTTTAAGCATTGAAGCAATTGGAAAAATTTGGGCAATCAATTTTTTTAGAATTGGGTGAATAACATCGTTTTTCTTCACAGAAATGAGGTTTTGAGCAAAATTCATGGACAACATGCTGATTTTTTGTCCAAATTCCATCGTTTAAAAGTTCAAGCGATGACTTCTATTCCGATAGAAATTAGGCTTGTTTAGAAGAGTTAAGTAAGTGTTTCTTCTTCCCTTTAAAAGGCTAGAATTAAGATTCATTATTTAATATAATTAGGGTTTATTGTGAATTGGTTGTCTTTTATTAAACTAATTAAATAAAAACATCGCTAGATGATTTTCTTCATAGTTTATCCAAATTTTCGATAATATATTTGAATTAATGAGTTTTTGGAGTGTTAATAATCATCGTGAATATTTCGCTGTCTGAAGCATGAATTTTTCACAGTTCATATTTCTTCGATTTTCTATAACAATATGGGTAATTTTATTTATACAATAATATTTTATATCTGCGCCATATTCTGATTTCAAGAAATATTTTCAATATTTGCTCACTTTTGCTTTTATATTTTCAACTTTTTTCTCTCGTTGTATTGTCATTCTTTATTTTCAATTAATCAATATATTTTATTTCTAATCACGACTTTCATCCAAATATTCTAATAACGTGTATTGAAAAGATGGGCAAATATTTTGTTCAGGTTTTGTATTAGTTATTTATTTTTGTTATTTAAAAATACGAGAAATAAATCTGTCCTTTAAGCCTCGTAACAAATATTTTGGACGAAAACCGTCTCTATAAACAAGATGTTAAAATTAATATAGGGTTAACAATAAAAAAATTTAAAAATTTAAACTATAAGTGTGAACACAAGAAATGTTTAGAAATATTTATTGTGATTAAAATGTGGTATAATTAACAAAAATTGTAGTGTGAAAATAATTACACACACAGAATATTTCGAGTGGAAGCCGCCCCCGCCCACGCCCACTATGATGACCCATTTGTCCAATAGTTCCTGGTCAATAATTATCTTTGTTTATCATAATTGCCATTTTGATTACGTGTGGTTAAACCTTTTTATGCATCTAGAAAAATCAAGTCAAGTGATATTTAAAAAAAAAAAAATTGCTAAAAAAATACATAAAATAACAAAAAATATTCAAAATATTATTTTCTTTCTATTTTGCGTCTATATTTCAAAGTTCAAACACACGGAGTCACATAGACACGTACAGATCATAAAGCTTAAAATTTTTATAAATTATAATGAATTCACTTTTTCACTTAAATCCATCACTTTTTTTAATGAAAAAAAATTGAAAATCAACTTTCTAGTTCTCCCAAATAAGAACTTTATTATGTTGATATTTGCTAAATTCAGGTTTTGTGAAGTATTTATATAAAATTAAAAATCCTGGACAATGATGTCAGTTTTGTATTTGGTGATGATGACTTTCCTTGGATAAGTCCAACGCAAATTATCCTGTAAATAAGTGGAAAAAAACTTAAATTATCAAATATTTTGTGGGATTATATTAAGTCCCGTTTGGTTCCTTTTATCTCAAAAATTTATTTTTCAATTTTTTATTTTCAATCACACAATTTTCAATAAAAAGTTAAGCCTAATGTACAGAAAATGGGTTTATAGAACTTCTACCACATCTCACATGAGGCGGGTCCCATGTGGGATAGAACTCATTAAAAAATGGATAAAAAATTTGCCGACTTCACGTCTTGTGAGTGATCTGTGGGGGTTTTGTGAACCCTTATATCTGTAAGTCAAGCTCGATTTTTCAATAAAATCATATTACATGTAAATTAAAACATTTTTATTATTTTTCAATCATATATTCTCCAAAAAAAATATTATTTGAAAAATTATAATTTAAAGTAACGAGGGCCATATAGAGCTAAGACGAGAATCTCGAAAATTATGAGTGATAATAATTTTTATTTTATAATCTAAAACACAACGCATACCCTAAAAAGTAGGTTAGGAATCCGATGCCACTAACCATACTAGAGGATATATACCGAGGAATTTTTTATTTTTTTTACTGCTTATTTCTGAAATTTTCAATTAAAATAGATTATAATTAAGATTCCAATTAATAAAGTAATCGAGTTTAAGGTCCTCAATGCCAACGTTGGCGGCGTCAATTATCGTGCATATTTTTTTGAAAAAGGTGACAACTTTTGCACACTGCAATAAAATTGCCAGCCTCTTTTCCCACATTATTTATTCATCAATTTGTAATAGAAAATTCAAATAAATAACATGCAAATTGATGTTTCGATGAAGCCCTCTTCGGGTCCTTTCATAGTCTAGGTCGCGTTCAATACATTTGTTGACGACATTTGTATGTAAATGGTCAAACATTTTATTTAAAGATTGTATGTCAAAGATTTTATTTTTTTTTAAATTTCGAAAATCGTTTTTAATTGCACATTTTACTGGACTTACACATCTTTTTTTTTTTTTTTTTCTCTTTTTTAAGCATATATTCTTTTAAAAATTATTTTTCTCTTGAATAATTATGTGTCAACTTATAATTTTCAATCAAACTTTTATTTAATTAACTTATTTACATAAATACCATCCATGCTTTTCGTGAAACCGATTTTTCATATCGAGAATCGAGATTATAATTGTCAAATTTGTCACATCAAAAAAGTATAACGACAAATTAAAGAAGAAAAGAAATGTCATTATCAAACTCCAAACAAATGAGATAAATCAGAAACGCTAGGTGTACAAAAAATGAAAAAATTCAAGAATTAAGACCTTGAATTCAAAAGTTTGGCGTATGAACAAGAAATTGGATATTCATAAGTTTAGGTCCAACTCTACTTTTGTCTTAGTGAATCCAATTAACACGTTAAGAGGGGGAAAAAAATTCAATTGCCACAATCAATAGATTACTGTTATACCAAAAAAATGAAAGAAGAAAAGATCAGACTTGTTTGGGAAGTGTTTAAATTATAAACACTTTGATCAAATTTCCTCTTTATTTAGAAATTTCTTAAGACTCACAAATATTGTCGACTTGTCAATCGTATTTATTTATTTATAATTTAAACGAACAATAATCACCTTCGAAACAAGTTAGAGACGCTTTGATTATTGTTGGACAAGTAGTGAAGCTCCCGAGGCTTTCGGTAATTGTTGAAAGTTGTTTTATGGAAACGAACTGGCAGTTGATAAGACCTTAGAAACAATTTTGACATTATGTTTGATTTCCATTTTTTCAAAATTGATTTTCAACCACACATTTTTTCATAAAATAATTTTACATGTATATTCATAATTTTTTTAATATGTTAACTACATATTTTCCAACAAGGACAATGCTACATGTACATCTACTTTTTACCTACACTCACAATAGGGTCACACATTTAAGAATTTTTTATTTATGCGGGCACCGCATGTTAGAATAATTCTATCATGTGAACTTCCATTTGATTGTTAATTTTACTGATTAGATATATAGTTTGCAATGATACTGTAATTGGGCTTAATATGTTAGTGATCACTTGGGTCTTCGTACACCTTACCTTCTATATTATTATAATATTGTAATTTTAAGTATATTGGTCAGAAGTATGTAAATCCTAATTAGGGTTAGGTCGGTAATGAGCCGACTTTATGATTTCCTATATAATGGTTAAGTCTCATCTCCTCTCCATATCATTTTGGCTTGCTCTATTGATGACTGATTATTTTGAGGAGCAAAGAGATGAAGATCTAGCTAGTAATATTCATACATAACAATGTCTTCCGTATGTATGAATTTCGAACTATCAATTAATTATGTGATTCTTATTTCTTAACATGATTCTATTGAATAATTACAATAATTGGCATCAGAGCCCCATGCGAAGATTAGAATCATTTGAATAAAAAATAAAAAATAAAAAAATTTGCAGCTCCACCATCTATCTATGTGCAACAATTGGTATAATTGTATTGTCATCAAAATCAATAACAAAACCGCCCGTTTTTCCTTTTCTATTCCCCTTGCATACATGTGTG